GGACTCAGAGTAGCATTTTTGACATATATTTGGATAAACTCAATATATTTTAAGTCTGAAAACTGAAATGTGTCCAGTCTGCAATGACAATTCATTGATATACGAGAGCACTTCAGCATAATTTAAAGCATTAAATTAAAATGTAATGCATCCTTAATAGCCATCTTGTAGTCCAGAGCAAGATGCTTTATAGACAAAGCTGTGAATACTTCTTGCTAAATAAAAATATCAAAAATTTGCACCAAGGTCATCCAGATTCTGCGACAACAGGAAAAATGGAACCATGAGACATATAGGCTTGGACCTAGAGCCATATTTCCATGGGCACATTTCCATGAGAGCCAGTTTGGTGTAGTGATTAAGTGCACGGGCTCTAATCTGGGAGAACCGGGATTGCTACGCTGGTCCCAGCTTGGGAGCAGTCACAGGGCTCCCCACCCAGGCGGCAAGTGTTCCATACAGAGGCTTGTTTCCCTGCCAGTTTGGTGTAGTGGTTAAGTGCGCAGACTCTAATCTGGGAGGACCAGGTTTGATTTCCCCACTCCTCCACTTCCAGCTGCTGGATGACCTTGGACAAGCCATAGTTCTGTCAGAGCTGTTCTAGAAAGAGCAGCTCTCAAAAGAGCTCTCTCAGCCCCACCAACCTCACCGGGTGTCTGTTGTGGGGAGGGGAAGGGAAAGGAGTTTGTAAGCCGCTCTGAGACTCCTTTGGGTAGTGAAGGGCCATGGGGTGTAAATCCAATCTCCTCCTCCTCTCCTTCTGTCTGTGGAGTGTGACTTTCTCACCTCCCCACTCCCACTGCATCCCCAAATGACTCCCAAAACATTGCTCTTGAGGGACAGGGAATCTGCTGAAACAGCGGTGTGTGTGTGTGTGCGCGCGCGCAAAGGAGTCTGCACTGAGAGGGGGGAGGTGAGAAAGTCACACTCTGCATGCAAATGTAAACTCTCCTCCTGATCCAAACCATATATTATGCAAATAGGCATGATTTGTCTTATTTTTAAATTATCCATTCTGCTTCTGTTATTCATGAAGGGTACCTAGCAGTTCTAAAGCAAGAAATGGCAAGTAGATAAATAGGGACCACTTCAGTGGGAAGGTAACAGCGTTCTGTGGGCCTTGGTGTTTAGTCATGCCGGCCTCATGACCACGGAAACGTCTTCGGACAGCCCTGGCTCTACCTTTACAACTAGACGGTTGATTCATCGCTGTGGTACCTGTGGAGTCCCACATGGAATACTGCCCACATACAGGCTTTCCACTGAGAGGTTTTTGAAACTAAAAAAAATGCTTGAGGGTGCCCCATCCCACTCCCCAGTGCTGTTTTACGTCTTTTCCAGCATGATTGGGGGGGGGGGAGATGGAGCACTCTTCCCTCGGTCATCTCTCTGCTGCTACAGAGGGAGGTTCTTTAGAAGAAGTTCTGTCTTCAATCAACACAAACTGTCAACAATTTCCACTTTGTCCCCAGAGACCCTCCTGCCCAAAAAGTGCTCTTAAAAAAAATGAAGGTCCTGTGGTTCGAAAATCCCCACATGGAGAACATGAGAAATGCTTCTTCTGCCTCGGCCAAGAGCACAATGCCTCACTGCCCTGTTTACTCCCAAGGCAAGGCATGATAGAGCTTTCTGCCTAAAAGCAGCACTCTCGGAAAATGCTTTATCTGGCCTTGCTCAGGAAAAAACAATGTGAACTCAACACCATCCTCCAAGCCAGCTTGCTACTCTCCCGTGTGGGACGGCACAGGTACCAGTACGATGAAAACAGGGTTGCACTTACCTGTAACTGTTGTTTATCGAGTGGTCGTCTATGCAGTCATACATCCCTCTCTCCTGCCCTGCTGTGAGTTCTTAACTAAATCTGACAACTGTATGTCACTCTGGGTAGCAGCAGAAAGGAACTGTGGGAAATATGTCCCCCCCCATCATGCTGGAAAGGGTGGGGAGACGTGTGGGGGACTGAGCACCTTCTGGCTTTTTTTGAGGTTCAAAATATTTTCTGTTGTGGGCCTGCACATGTGTGACTGCACAGGGACCACTCGATGGAAAACAGTTACAGGTAAGTGCAACCCTGTTTTTGTATGTTTGCCTTCTGGCAATAGACTGGGTTTTTGAATTCTGAAGTTTTGTTTTAATTTTAAATTATGAGGATGGGTCTTCACCAAACATACAGCAAGGAATAAAGTGACAACCTAATCCAAGTAAATTAGAGCCATCTGTAAAGCAACAAATGAACATGATGCCCTGTTAGCATCAATGTGTGGCATTACATGCTCTCTCTTCACTCAGAATGCCACAGCTTTACCCAAAATGCTGCAATGCACTTTAGTGCCTTTACTCCCAGTGAAAGCCCATCTAGGGTCTGTTTGTGTTACTTTCCAGAATTAAGCAGACAGTCTTTCCCCCTGGACACCACAGACTTTTATCTGTCAGTGTCCTCCCGGCTTGCACGAGGAGCTTGAGGAAGAGAGGATGCTGGGTATTGGTGGGTGAGACATGACGGCCCAGCAGTGCCTCAGCTGGGGGTAACTGGCCAGACCACAGTGAGAAGGAAGAGGGTTGTTCTGCCTTTTGCTTCACATGTATGAAAGGGAAGGAGCAGAATGTCGTCTTTGGTCGAGTTTTTGGCTGTCGTGCTGACTTACAGGAGGTGCTATCTACCAAAATTTTCCTTCTATGCTAAACCCAATAATTACAAAGATATTTGTGTTCCTGCAGAACTTGCATCTTGGGTATTCAGTGAAGGTTCTTAATTGCATATACATGGATGTATAGGAATGGAGATTTTATTTATTAAAATTGGTCTGTTTTTAAATGTGTACTTTTGTAAGATAGGGTTGTTTTTAAATACAGCAATTTTTGATAATAAGTAGAATCCCCCCCCCCCACAATAATATTGGTTCCCCTTTTGTATTTGCATTGTAGGCATATAATGAAAATATGTATGGCAGTAAGTACCAGTGGATCATTCCTGGGTGGTATCAGAGTTACTGGTGGGAACACGTTATTCCAAAGCTCAATACATCACACTGTCTCAGCAGAGACCTCCTCAAAGCCATGGAAGGTTACATTGGAGTGGATTTCGAACCTCTCAGTTCCAAAGCAATAAAGACCATTTCAGGAAAGGTGAGTCAGTTTTACTATTTACCACTTTGGAAATTTACAAATATTTCCCAGGTATACTGTATTTTTACTATCAAATCGTCTAGGGATGGGCACGGATTGGGAAAATGCCATTCATGTCGGATTGTGGTTCATAGCCGGTTTGTTTGGAGCCATTTAAACCAAACAGCTGAGCAGCGGGGAGCTCCCAGGCGTTCAGCTGTTTCTCATAAACCATCATGAGCCACCAAAAATTGTGCCAAAATTGGTGCTGGTTTGTCCCATTTCTTCAGTTCACGAACTTCACAAAGTCCAAACAGGTCAAAATTCATGACAAACTTCAGTTTGTCAGCCGGTTCATGCCCATCCCTAAGCCCAGCTCACCCTGTTGAAGAATTAACCATATTGACACACCAGTTTAAAAACATGCATGTTTGTACCTTAGAGACTGTGATCCTTTTCATCAGATGGATTCCTGTAGTCTAGCCTCGAGGTGACACCAAATCATTGCGTTCGAGGAAGGGGACCAACTGCCTAATCAGCCGAAGATGGTCAAAGGCTGCCTTGGCAGTGGCTGCTACCTGGGCCTCCATTGTCAGGGAGGGATCGAGGAGCACTCCCAAACTCCTGACCCTCAGCGCTGGCACCAACGGCTCTCCACCGAAGACTGGAAGTGGGGCGCCTAACCCCGAACCGCTCCGATTTAGGCACAGGACCTCCATCTTCATTGGATTCAGTTTCAGATGACTCAACCTAAGCCATCCCGCCACGTCCTGCAACGCCCGGTCCAGATCTTCCGGGGTAGAGCCAGACTGACCACCCAACAACAGATAGAGCTGGGTGTCATCTGCATATTGATGACACCCAAGCCCATGCCTCCGGGCAATCTGGGCAAGGGGGCGCATATGGATGTTAAATAACATTGGGGAGAGCACCGCCCCTTGGGGCACTCCACAGGCCAGTGGGTGCCTTCGGGACTGCTTCTCCCCAAGTGCCACCCTTTGTCCCCGACCCTGGAGAGAGGAGACGAGCCATTGCAGGGCCAGTCCCCGGATCCCCACGTCGGCAAGGCGGTGTGTGAGCAGCTGATGATCGACCATGTTGAACGTCGCCGACAGATCTAACAACAGCAGCACCGCCGCACCGCCCCAGATGCCTCCGGAGGTCGTCTGTGAGGGCGACCAGTGCTGTCTCCGTCCCGTGACCTGTGCGGAAGCCGGACTGGAAGGGATCCAGCGTGGGAGTGTCATCCAGAAAGCTCTGCAACTGTATCACCACCGTCCTCTCTACTAATTTGCCCAAATAGGGCACATTGGAAACCGGCCGGTAGTTGACTTCACATTTCAATGAACAGATCTTATTTTGGAACGGTAATTCCCTATGAGGAAAGGTTAAGGCGCTTAGGGCTCTTTAGCTTGGAGAAACGACGACTGAGGGGTGACATGATCGAGGTTTATAAGATTATGCATGGGAAAGAGCAGGTAGAAAAAGAGGTACTTTTCTCCCTTTCTCACAATACAAGAACTCATGGGCACTCAATGAAATTGCTGAGCGGTCGGGTTAGAATGGATAAAAGGAAGTACTTCTTCACCCAAAGAGTGATTAACACTTGGAATTCACTACCACAGGAGGTGGTGGCGGCTACAAGCATGGACGGCTTCAAAAGGGAATTAGATAAGCATATGGAGCAGAGGTCCATCAGTGGCTATTAGCCACAAGGTGTAGATAGGGACTCTGGGGCAAGGGATGCTCTGTCATCTTGGTGCTTGGGGGGGTCAACAGTGGGAGGGCTTCTAATGTCCTGGCCCCACTGGGGGACCTCCTGATGGCACCTGGTATTTCTGGCCACTGGGTGATACAGAGTGGATGGGCCTTTGGCCTGATCTAACATTGGCGTCTCTTATGTTCTTAATGCATATGCCTTGCTTTCATTGCTCTGGCACTGCTTTTCCAAAGAAGGATATTTCATGGGCCTCGTGTGTTTACTTGTGAAAATTACTGCCCAGGAGCTCATAGGAGCAGCGTACTTAGTCAACATTGGCATCTCTTATTTTCTTTTGTTCTTAATGCATATGCCTTGCTTTCATCGCTCTGGCACTGCTTTTCCAAAAAAGGATATTTCATGGGCCTCATGTGTTTACTTGTGAAAATTACTCCCCAGGAGCTCATAGGAGCAGCATACTTACTTGACCACCATCATATAGGATAAGAATACTTGTACGAGACAGAGCGGCAGAACGGAGGGTCAAAGCATGCTGCCGGCCAGGGGTCAGACATTTCTTCCTCTTGCTTTGTTCTTACACTGCTCGTGCAAGTAGACCCCCAAGTAGTTACTGTGTTCCAGTTGACATACAGAGCCCTCCTAAGCAGGTCTCCTCACAATCCTCCGCAGCTCTCAGGGAGGAAGGGTGCATACTTCCAGGACAGTGTTCTTAGGATTACACGGTTAATGTCTGAATCTCTCTCAGGAGGGATTGCCTCTAGTAGGTCCGAAAAACAGTAAATCACCGTGTACAGTTTAACAATATTTGTTAGTTTTTATGTGCAATGTGTTTGTCATTCTGTAATTATTTCTTCATTAGCATGAAGTGCTGCAAGCCATATTTCAAAATGCTAGTTCTTATACAAATTTTGATGTACGCTACCGTGCTTAGATTCTGGTGACTGGGGAGCTCCTATAGCAAGCTCTGATGTGACTGGGTCTACAGCATATAATAACTGGCTAAGCTTCCCTCAGTACTTTCTTAGAGCTATTAGATGTTGTGAACCAAACTATGCATATCTGGAAGAAGTACTAAAAGACTGAAAAATGTTCACAGTCTTGAAGTCAAAGCTGTTAGTTGATTTCTGGTTTAAATGGTAGATTGTAAATAGTGGAGATGTAGTTTAACATGCTGACCAATGAACCAGTTTTCCATTCTTTTCTACAGACTCCACAGCAGTATGAAAATGAATACAATGAAAGGCGGGGAACTGTTGAGTCAAGTAAGTTCCATGGCTTTGCTTATGATGGAATTTGGGTAATTGCTAAGACTCTGCAGCGAGCTATGAAGTATCTCAATGCCACCAACAAAAACCAAAAAATCGAGGACTTCAACTACACCAACAAAGAGCTTGGGAAAATTTTTCTGGATGCAATGAATGAGACAAACTTTTTCGGTGTCACGGTAAGCATACGTCTAATTGGTTTTAAGTGAATTGTGTAGTATTTTGGGGACATATTTCCAGCTCCTGGTTATTAGAATGAAAAGAACCTCTGTAGGAAAAAAAAAGATCTGCTAGCTACAGATTTAGAAAAGAATGTACAAATCCGGATCGAAGTTCCATTGCATTACTGATGCCTGGTGCTGCAGGCTTTGCAGTGGAAACGGGGCTGCAGTCAAAGTGCTGGGAATGTTTAGTGAGCTGCAAAAGATGGCTCCCTCTTAGCCTTTCAGTGCAGAGCTCTGAGGGAAAG